TGGCAATCCGTCAGCCACGAGAGAACAGCAGGTGTATTCCACTATAAACTCATGAAAAGTTTAAAGAAATATACTCACTCCCGCAGACAACCAGACACTCAAGGATGTAAATGAAAATTACCAAGAGGAAAAACAAATCACATGCTAAAGCTACAATGTTTTGACATTCCCCCTCGAACACAAAGTCTGTCTGGGTTGCAGTGACAGCCAAATTCAATAGGAATAAAATGTAACATAATTTATACAAGTCTTATTCCTTCACTGTGGTTGATTTACACTGGGCAATTCTTTAGTTCTCAAAATTAGCCATTAGGCATTTATGAGTAAGATCTACCAAAATACTTCTGAATTATAAATTCCCTAGTCCACTGAAGAAAATATCTTCATGATGCACTGAAATATTAACTAAGCACAGCTTTTAGGTATAAAGTCTAAATAAACCTATATTTCAGAATAAGCTATAGTTACATGCTAGTTTATTTTTTAGTAACTAGTGAAAAGTAATTTTCTACCTTATTCCACAGTTCCTAGAGTCCAAAGACACTATAAAAAGATAAGAACACAGTAAAACCTATTTTCAAGACATCTGACATAGGAAGAATTCAACATTCCCCTCATCCATATATGACACATTTTGTGCCCTTTCCTACCTGCCTACAGCAGGAAGCGTGGGCACAGTGGAAAGAGCTGTGGCTGAAGGAAAGGCAAGCCAGGCTTAAGCCTGTGCTGCCAGGTGGGAAACTGTGGCCATTTGCTTAACCTCTCTGAACACCAGTTCCCAGTCTGTAAGGAGGAGGTTACACAAATTAGATTGGATAATGTTAAGGAAAACACCAAGGACAAAATCTTGGCTTTTAAAATCTTTCTCAAAATCTTTTAGAGAGTGCTTTTTTAAAACGGCATATTATCATTATTTTTTAAATTATTATTCATACTCACACCAAAAATACCATGTAATTCTTCCCAAAACTAAGGTAAAAAATCTCAAATGTCAGCCTTCATACTACAAAGAAAAAGGGAGGTGGCAGTCAATGGGCCACTGGAGAGAAGCCACACAGAGAGGGTAACAGAAAGAATATAGATGAAAGAGTCAAATTTCTTCTAGGCCTATTTAACTTTCCACTGACCTTCGTTAGTGAACTTTAGGCCTACTGGGGCCAATTTACATAAATGGCCCAAAGATGGAAAATATGAAGACATATTCTACCTGAAATCAAGGGGACAAATAAATTCTTATGTACACTGGGAGGTCAGTTTCTGGAGGAAAAAGATGGGTTTCAGCTGCCTGGAGTGACCAATGAAATACCATTCTATTCTGCCATGGTTTGGGGGTAAACACCATATCCTTCTGGAACAAGTCCCAAAGATGTGATATGTCTCATAATCCTCTCATGTAATCAACACACTAGCCTCACATCATGCAAATGCTTCCAAGTTCTCTAATGTCCATAACAAGTTGATAACATTCATCTAACAAAATAAATAAAATTTCATAATAAAAAACAGTAAAAAATGTGTCTGACCATCAGGAACGACTCTGACAGCTGTATCCAGAACTGCTCTTGCTTAAATCAGCCACAGCTACTTCCAATAGTTTGTGTTACCTCTTCCAGAGAACAAGTTTGACAACGACCACACAGACACAAATTCTCTTGGGATGGCAGAAGCTTTATTCTACAATGGCCACATTTGAAGGACATATTTCTTCTTCTCCAGGATAATCTGGATGCTCCTTTCTTGTAAACCATTCTGACTAGAGTATAACACTAATAAAACAGAGCTGATCATGAAACTTCTACCTGAATTTCAGTGGGAACATCAAGCAATTGACAACAAGAGTCATTTCCTCCCAACCATTGATCAGGATACTGTAGCCATTCCCAGATTCTTGAATATTCCTAAATGTCCACAAACAAACATCTTCCATGCTGTGAAACAGGATCATTTTTAAAAGGTATCAAAATTACTTTTACCATGGAAGAAAACTTTAATAGCCTGTAGAAAACTGAAATTCTCACAGATGGATGGTAAAGACATAACCTGACCTAAGTCTTTGAAGAAAAAACTGGCAATACCTATAAATATTTTAAACTTTTAAACCCTGAGTCCCAGTAATTCCACTCTTAGGAATCTATCCTATGAAACACTCAACAAAATGCATGAAGACATATGTACAAGGATTTTAGTACAAGCATTATTTATAACAGTGAAAAAAAACACCAATATAACTGTCCTTCAATGGAGAAAAAGCAAGTACACCCATCCTGTGGACTACTACGTAGCTGATAAACAGAATGAAGTACATTTATATGTACTGACCTGGGAAAACATCAACGTCAAAAATCACATTGTAGAACAACACGTATTAGGTGATTCTACACTTTCAAAAAATGAACAGTACATGAACAACAAAAACCCTATGTGTACCTTATGTATATATTTGTATACTACTACGTAGCTGATAAACAGAATGAAGTACATTTATATGTACTGACCTGGGAAAACATCAATGTCAAAATCACATTGTAGAACAACACGTATTAGGTGATTCTACACTTTCAAAAAACGAACAGTACATGAACAACAAAAACCCTATGTGTACCTTATGTATATATTTGTATACGAACACAGAAAAATCTGCAAGGCTTCAAAACTAACTATTAACTATGGTTACTTCTTGAAGGGTGAGTATGATGGGAAAGAAAAAAGACATTCCATTTACTTTATATACTTCAGCTTAAGCTTTATGAGCATGATCATTTTTTCATTTTTAAAAGAAAGGAAAAATTAATCTTCTAAATGACGCTTACCTTCACTCAGCTGTTCCAGTGACCCTCTAGAAAGAAGACTTGAGAAAGATTCTATAACCGTGCATTTTTTCCTGAATCTGCATTGAATAAATAGAAGGGGAGATGGGAAATAGAAAGAAAAAAACAACAAATCAGACTGAACTCCTTTTGACATTCATTTCAGTCACAATCACACCAAAGAGTCACCAAGCTGGAACTCTAAACCCTAAAAGGCCTGTAGGGCAGAGCTCACCCATTTCCAACCCTGTACTCCCAGCTCCCGGCATTGGGCTGGCACCTGTGGAACACAACCCATGCTTACTGAACCCGTGCATGGACAAACCCACGCATACGAACACTACACCTGCAAAGCACCTTCCCTTATCTCTATGGCTAAAATCCATATTTCTGTGATAAGAATCTCCACAGGCTAAAAATGGAGTTAAAGGACAATATTTGGAAACGCTGCTCATTTGAAGGGCTTGAAGCATAATTATATGAGGATGTAAGTTCATCTCTGTCAAAAATTCACAATGCTAATAATAGCTTTCGCTAGGGTCTTCCTATACACACAAAGTAAAGCTTAGATAAACTAAAAATCCGCCTCATTTTGACCAACTAAAAGTGTCCACACATGTCCTTCTTAAACACATAAAACATTCCCTTCTAAATTTGCAGCATCTCCTACATAAAATGGGAATGTTCCTGGCTTGGCTTGGCTTGGCATGGCGTGGCACATAGAACCTAATCTCTTCCACCACAGGGAGACCCTGGAGAGGTACTTGCTGCTAACACCACTGAAATCTCCCTCAGACCTTCTCTGAAGTTCAGGCCCCAAGCTATCAAAAAGAGAAGTGGAAGGTATAGATGCCAAATGGGAATCATACTATAATTCCTAGTAGGAACTTGTTTATCTCTATTACGTAAAACCATGTGAAGCTAAGAAGCTCTGAAGCTGAAGTCCTTTTCTGTAGCTATAGCCCACTTGAAACACAGAGCTCTCAGTCAGGCAAACAGTTTTCATTCCATCACACAAACATAAATGTTTGTAGTCATATCTCAAGTATTTAATTGCTCAGTCATACTTTTGGCAGGTTTGTAAAGCGTCCTTCATGGCAGAAATGCCATTTTGGATGTCCTGCTGCTCAAAGGTCATGACAGCCTGCAACACCACAATGGTACTGTAGCCCAAGGCATGGTACATGCTCTCCTTTGCCCTGGGGAGAACACAGGGAATTAGTACATTTCAATACTAATCTTAAGAAATCCTAGTAAATGCATGTCCTAACTTGCACAGTAATAACCTTTACTCCTTCACCGTAATCACTGAAATGACACAGACTGTGAAAGGTATACTCTTTAAAACACAAGCGTCAAAGACTTTCTCACAGGCAGAACAAAACGTTCCAGGTTGAAGTGGACAACATGTTTTCCCCTGTTTCAGCACAAGGGGGCAGCATGCGGACTCAAAGGCTTCCAGGCAAACAATTTTTTCCATTTGAACAAGGGGCAGCGTACTGTCTTCAGCTCTGAGATAAGTGCTAAAATAAAGGCTGCTGGAAATGTACTTTGTGACAGAGAGATTCTGATATGTTTTTTGAAAAATAGAGGCTCATTTAAAATTGTCCCCTCTCCTCTGCAGCTGAAGGCCAAGAAGCTGCAAGATTTTTTCAGCCACAAAGGGCCCTGACAAAAGTAGATCTTAGAACCTTGTATCTAATTTATCCAGTTATCTGAGATTCCTGATTAAAGTTATCAAGTTATTAGTGAGAACTGCTTCAGAATTAGTTAATTAGTCCTAATGTATGACAGACATCCAGATTCTCAGGCTGTGAAAAACTTCGCCATCTCTTTTCTCAAAATGTCTTATGTGAATTAATTATTTCTAAGGTTTAAAATATCAATGCATGTTTTTGTTTTTAATTTAAATATTAATGAACAACAGCCAGATGCTATACAAAACAAATGCAAGCCTCATTATTCTCTTCCCCCATGGGAGTCATCTAAATATCCTTCCTCAGTAATCTGCAGTTTGTCCTGAACTGTGAGGTCACTGCCTGTTGAAAAGAACCACAAAAAAATAAGAGCAGCCCAAAGTTAATCGTTAATTGTGGTTGCAAACCTCACATTTTTAACTAAAAGCTCTTCCAAGAGGAAAAACAGGGATCCAAGTGGGAAAAAAGTATTTTTAACAGTGAAACATACATAAAGATCAGAGAATATAAAACGTGACTGAATAGGATACTAAATAATTTTTTCATCCCATATTATGACCAGCTGGGGTGTCAGTGGCTGAGAAAAAAAGGAGACTTGTTTGAATGAAAAAAAAAGGAGACAGGCAGGTGGGTTGAGAGAGGAGCTAGAGAAACAGAGAGGGAAAGACAAGAAGACAGAGAAGACGACAAAGGGAGGTCGGGGCAGAAAAGAGACAGAAGTCTGAGGGACTGAGGACTGAGGAACATGAGCAGGAGACAGGCGGAACAGAGGCTGTGGGACAAGCACTGGAGACAGCACTGGACAATTTCCTTAGACTGTGGGCTTCACCGCTATTTTACCATCTGTTCTTAACCTCTGAAATGCTAATTGACCAATCATGATCACAGCTATTCTAAATCTTCATAAAATTACCACAACAGCTCCTGAGCAGGTAAATAATCTCTAAGATTCAAAGTCAGTGACCAGAGTCAGGTCACCCTACTGACTGCTCAAAGTAAGGAATGAGATTTCCCACTTTTGTGCCCAAGTACTCTTCGAGAAAATTATTATATGAGGTCTAAGCTTCATCCAAGAAAGTGACTGTGCTTGAAGGCACAATGTAAGATTATTCCTGCCAAGGTGTAGTCACTCTGTAGAGCTGGTGACTGTGGTCAGAGTGAGGCCTTGTAAATGGCTGAGCACGGTTTTGTTGCCACATTTGAAAAACTAACAGGTACTATCAATTGAAATTAAATTGCTTAACTTGTTTATCACATAAATAGGGAATCCCAAGAATATTCTTATTATCTTAAATTTCTTTCTAGCATTGGGATTAGCATATTCTGCTGCTTCTCTCCTCATTTCAAAGGAAACTTTTTTCAATGATAATTAAATTTAAGGGGAACATCCATAAAAATATTTCACCGAAGAAAGCAAAACAGAAGGCCTACAAAATACCTAAGGTGACAATATTTGAACAAATATAGAGATTAAAGTATGAGAATCAGAAATTTTCTACTGAGTAAATTTGTAAAAACAGATCTGAATTTTTAAACTAACCAACAGTAAAGGGTCTCAACCAAATTAGCTTATAAATATTCTGGTAGAAACAGATAAAATAACTTGCAAGCATGACATCAAAGAATCATCAGAAACATTTGACAAACATTTTATCTAAAAGAAATAAAATTAATTACCATGGACGAAGCAATTCTAAGGCATCTGTAAATTTGTTATTTAGAAATAGGTTCAATGCCACTTTGCACTCTTCTAGAGCACTCTTGAGATCCATCTTGGCTGATGATGAACTAAAGATCAAGAAAAAAATACACAGAATTTCTATAGCTTTTACTATTAGCAAGTTGTTCCAGAGAGTGTATGTGTAGACTGTGGAGACAGAAGAACAGGCTGGATGGGATTCTCACTTTGCCACTTAACTGTGTCTCTAACATCCCAGAGTCTCAACTTCCTTATCTGTAGAACGGGACCACCACCACCCACTTCATGGGGCTGTTGTGAGATGAGATTAACTGACAAATAATGCTCACAGTAGGCACTAAACAGATGCTATTTCCCTCCACCATCACTCCGAAGACCCTAAGTGTAGGAACTACCTTCATTCATGCGAGAGGCAGAGATTATTTAGGTTTAGTTTGATTGTATATGGGAAAAAATGTGCTTCCATGGAAAACTATGCATTGTCTAGCCTCCAGAGGAGACCCTAGGTAATTTGAATCTGATTCTACAGGAGATACCTTACAACTCTGTAAATGGTAAATAATTAATAGCAATGCAAAATAATTGTTGTCTACAGATGTGTAAATTTTGTCCTGGTTAATACAGGTTCCACTAACTTCCCTCGCCCATTATAGAAGAGGCTAATTTTCCTGAATTTGCACATTCACTTTAGCATTCCTTCACTCCACATAAATTTGTTTTGTTTTGATTTCTCCTCTGAACCTGTTATAACATCTGCCAAGTGCCCTCATGATTAATGGTTAATCAATGATAACTAATGATTAAATAAAATCTTTAAAGTGTGTTCATTTTTATATCTGTAGGAGTCATGATTTTATCCTTTTAAAAATTGTCTGTTAATCATTTATGATTGACTTTAATCATAAATGATTGGTTATTATTCATTTATGATTGTTCTTTAAAACTTCAGCCATCTCTAAAATGTTTTGTGTAACTACTTCTAATAGGAAAATATTTCAGTAAGTGAATGAGCCGTAGGATGATTTGGTAAACAAAAATGTTAAGAAATAAACTTGAAAAGTGTTAAAGTTGAATTTCCATGCCACCAACCTCTTCAAATTCATTCTTTAAAGCAAAGTCTCACATCAGGTACTGATGTGGCACTACATGGAACCACTCTCTGCCCCAGTCTTCCCATGGCTCCTTCTTGTTACTCAGATCTCAGCCAATGAGGCACCAAGTCACAGCAACCCCACTGACCCCACCCCATCCTGTCTCACTGTTTTTTCTCCATACTATCCTAAAGAATCTCATACATGAGCATTTGTGGACATGTTTGTCTGTCTTCCCTCTCTAGGATATAAATGCAAAAGGTTGTTTTAGTCGCTACTGCGCCACCAGTGCCTTCAGCAGTACCCAGAACATAGTACATGCTCAGTAAATACTGTGGAGTGGGTGGCTTGGTGGAGGGGTAGAGCTGCTCTGGGTAGAAACAGAGAATTCCTCATGCCTAGAGTTTGAGGCACCATCCTCTAGGATGGAGCAGAAATGAGGCAAGCTCTTAATGGAAGGACAGCTGGAGAGCTACAAATCACTTTGCCCTTAAGTTTCCAATGAATGAAGAGATCAAACGAGAATGCTAGAAGTTCACAAACCTCTCACAGGAAGATTTTTCAAAAGAAAATTGGTTAATACCTCCCATATCGGTCCATCACCACAATTGTGTGACACTGTGCCACAAACTTCTCTTGAATTCACCCTGTTTCATCTCTACCACCCAGTCCCAGTAAGCCATTATGTCCTGCCCAGTGTCTGCAGACCTATTTCTCCCCCTCCAGTGAAATCTTTACCTAGAATTCATTCAACAAGTAATCATGGAGCGCTAAGTATGTGCCAGGCACCCTTCTAGGGGCTGGCAATACAGCGATGAACAAGACGCACGGGATCCCCCACTCTCAAGGAGCTTTCCCTCTACTGGGGAAAGAAGGGAGACTTACACAAGTAGACCAGTAACTGACTAAGATCATCTCAGATTGGGATCAGTAGTCTGAGACAGAACCTGGTTAGGGGAATGGGGTGGGGTGAGACCCAGCATTAATAAGGATGATCACAGAAAGCTCTCCAAAAAGGTGACAGCTGAGTGCTGTACAATGGAGCCAGCCACAGCAATATCCAGGTTGGGAGAAGGGGGGATTCTAAACTGGGAATGTGGCAAGGCAGGGAGCAGGAGAAAATAAGGACAGGAAACAGGCAAAAGCCAAAAGCACAGTGGCAGAGAGGATAGATCTTATGCTAAGAACACAAGGGAACACACTGGCTCCACTCCCTTTCTAATCACCTTCAAATCACCCTTCAAATATTAGCTTTCCCAATTTTACCTCCCACGTGTTCTCCTCATCTTCACTCCCACCAATTCTCTCAAATGTTACAGCTCATCCTCTATTCCAGGAAATGGGCTGTGAACAGATTTTGGTTCCCCTGCCAAACACCCACCTCTGCTTCTCAGCTGGTCTCACTGTCACCTGGGAGGATATACAACCATGCATCCTTTAACAATTGAGTCATTAGGCAATTTCGTCATTGTGTGACCGTCATAGAGTGCACACTCAAACCTAGATGGTATCATCTACTACACACTTAGGCCGTATGCAGTAGCCTGTGGCTACCATGTGAGGAATGCACCGCACTAAGATGTCACTAGGCAATAGGAATTTTCAGCTCCACTATAATCTCACAGGAATATTTCAGCTCCATTCTAATCTCATGGGACCACCGTAATAAACGCAGTCCATCATTGACCGAAATGTTATGCAGCATGTGATTGTACCACACATGCCCCAGCTTAGTGGGATAAACAAAAGTGGTAGCACCTCCAAACATGGTGAATGGGGCCTTAGCCAGAAAAACAACCATCTTTGGGGTAACTAAGACCAAGCAGAACATTTCAGTCAGCACTGAACTTGGAAACTGATAATTATCAATTCCTTGAGGTTAGCAGAAGAAATGAGAGACTGCAGGGAGATGAAATCACCACCCCTTATGTTGATTTACTACAGAGGTGGTGCACCTACAATTACGGACTGAAACTAAGCTTCCTGTTTTTCTTACCTCTCTAACTGGCTGCAAACAAGAGGCGATATAAGAGAGAGGCAGACAGCATAGCTGGCTGTAAACTCCCCCTCTTACTTAAAGGAAAACTGCATTCATGTTCATTAGAAATCCAAGTCAGGTATATTTATGATGTTTGACTAAGGTTATTATCCTTGAGCTCTCCCTCGGAGATAAGGACTCCAACCTCGAGGTAACATCAAGGACTTGAAGCTGACCACAGACTCTGTGACGCTGAAGTTTCTAATCCATCATGGGACCCTGACATTTGGCTCAGACCATCTGCTGCTCCCAGATTCTTCCCCCCAACACACTTTTTTTCTTTAGAACAAAGACCCTTACCTCATCTTCCTGCCTCTTTCCATTTATAAACCCCAGAACAGGCATCAGAGGTGGGACAATTTTAGCCTGGTCATCCGCCAGACGCCGGTTATCTGAATAAACCTTCTAATCCTTGCACCAACTTCTGGACTTTCGAGTCATTTGTTCAACGCGAGAGGGCAAGCCCAGCCCAGTCTGGCGGTAACAATGGTAAACTCAGTCCTTCTAAGCGGTTTATGATATGTTCACCTGGAATTAACACCCCTGATGAAATCACCACCCCTTATGTTGATTTACTACAGAGGTGGTGCACCTACAATTACGGACTGAAACTAAGCTTCCTGTTTTTCTTACCTCTCTAACTGGCTGCAAACAAGAGGCGATATAAGAGAGAGGCAGACAGCATAGCTGGCTGTAAACTCCCCCTCTTACTTAAAGGAAAACTGCATTCATGTTCATTAGAAATCCAAGTCAGGTATATTTATGATGTTTGACTAAGGTTATTATCCTTGAGCTCTCCCTCGGAGATAAGGACTCCAACCTCGAGGTAACATCAAGGACTTGAAGCTGACCACAGACTCTGTGACGCTGAAGTTTCTAATCCATCATGGGACCCTGACATTTGGCTCAGACCATCTGCTGCTCCCAGATTCTTCCCCCCAACACACTTTTTTTCTTTAGAACAAAGACCCTTACCTCATCTTCCTGCCTCTTTCCATTTATAAACCCCAGAACAGGCATCAGAGGTGGGACAATTTTAGCCTGGTCATCCGCCAGACGCCGGTTATCTGAATAAACCTTCTAATCCTTGCACCAACTTCTGGACTTTCGAGTCATTTGTTCAACGCGAGAGGGCAAGCCCAGCCCAGTCTGGCAGTAACAATGGTAAACTCAGTCCTTCTAAGCGGTTTATGATATGTTCACCTGGAATTAACACCCCTCTCCAGAAACGCCAGTGCTACCATGTGTTCTGCAAGCAATGACCAGGAGGGTTCTCTCAGGCACCTCTCAGAGACACTTGTTCCTCTCCATTTCCACTGGCCCTCACATTAACTGAGACTCTTACCATCTCAGGTCTGAAACCTGAAACACCGTCCTAACTATTACTGGTCACATGGTTCTCAAACTGCAGCATGCATTAGACTCACCAGAAGGGCTTGCTGAAACACAGACTACTGGGCCCTGTCCCCAGAGTTTCTGACACCCTAGGCCTGGGATGGGGCCGACAAATCCCCAAATGATACGAATTCTGCTTCCATGCTCAGATTACTCTTCTCTACCTAAAGCAGATGTTCATCAGACTGCCTCCTAGATGAAGAACCTAAATTGGCTGCCCATACCTACTGCATGAAGTTCAAGCTCTTCTTCCTGGCTCCAAGGCCCTGGAAATCTGGCCCCACCACACCTGTCCAACCAGACTGGAGAGATGAGCAGGGCTATTTAAAAACAGCCACATATCTTGCAAGAGGCTCATCAACACGGCATCCCCCTCAAGCCAGGCATGATGTAATGAAAAGATTCCTGGACTGGAAATGGGAAGTCAGCATTGCCATTCTTTAGTCATGTGATCTTCCGAAAGTCCCTTAACCTCCCTGAGTCCCTTGCCTCATCTTTGAAATGCCCTTCCATTCCACAGCACATACAGGAGAAACAAAGGCAATGAGTGCTAAGAGC